GTATAGCCCCGAGCCTGAGAGAACAACATGCACGGAGTGCGGCCTGGGCCCTAGCAGCCCCATGGCCACAGAGCTAGGCTGCTGAGGGCCAGTGTGGAGGCAGACACAAACCTGCAAGGGGGCTGGCCTTCAGCAGCCTCATGGCTTCAGCAGGCCAGCAGGCCCACCTCTTTGTGGGAGCTGCAGAGGAAACATTTTTTCTGACTGCTCATTTGCTAAACTCCCTGTATGCCACCACTTACAGTGTTCTTGGTAACTTGGGTAATAAGAATCAAAGAAGGTCATATAGGGTTTTTTTTCACCTCACTCTTGAAAGAAAAAACGAAGGTCCATTGCTGGAGGGGCTAAGAAATATGCTGCCCTAGATGATTTGGCTCTGTGGATAGAGCCTCAGCCTGTGGAAGGCAGGTCTGAGTTCAATTCTAACAAAGGACATGTACCTAGGTTGCAGGCTCTTCCCTGGCTGGAGCCCAGGTTAGGAATCATGCAGGCAGCAACTACTTGAAGTGTGCCTCTCATGCTGATGTTTCTCTCTGTCTTTCCCTCTCTCTTCCACACTGTCTAAAAATCAATGGAAACTTATCTCAGGTGAGAAAAGAAAGGAAGAAAAAAAAAGACAGAAAAGAGAGAGAAAGAGAGAGAGAGAGAGAGAGAGAGAGAGAGAGAGAGAGAGAGAGAGAGAGAGAGAGAGAGAGAGAGAGAGAAACGAAGGAACGAAGGAAGGAAGATCATATCCTATGAAAAAGACATCTCGAAAATACCTTAAAAAAGTTGTCATTTTTTTGTGGTGATGGGACTAGAGTCCATATTGATGAAAACATCTTGGTGGTTGCAGTGGCTGGCAGTGGCAGCAGCAGCGGGAAAATGGGGGTGGTACCTTCTCCTGATCAGCCCAGTCACCTCCCACAGATGGAGGCCAGACTGTGGCTTAGGCCCACTCCCCTTAGGCCATCAGTAGGACATCCCCTGAGGGTTCCTGGACTGTGAGAGGTGGCAGGCTGGGCTGAAGGGCCCCGTCCCTGTCCCCATTGCATTAATTTCACGCACCAAGCCTCTAGGAATACAATAACACACACACACACACACACACACACACATTTGTAGTGTTGAAGAAATGGACTAGAATAGCCAGAGAGAAATACTTGAGAGGGTGAAAGGCATGTAGTACAGAGCTGCTAAGTGTGTTGATGTGGTGTTGGGAATCTGTAAACATTCTCTTCTGATTGCTTTGGTTTTCTCGGTAAAGTCAAAGGTCATAAGATGAAAGGGAAAAAAGGAGAGGGAGTATGGGGAATGAGAAGAGATAATTATAAAAATAATCATCAAAGGTTAAAAGGTATAGACTCTGTGCCAGGGACAGGCACCAACAGAAGGCAGTGGGCTGTAGAGAGGTCATAATGTTTGGTTCCCTAGGTGTCTGATGCCATGCTGCAGACTGGCAGGGATTGAGTTCCTGTTGGATAGACTTTCTACAGCAATAGCTTTCTCCTACCACTTACAGTCTAAATATGATAGCAGCTCACCTCTGCCTGCTAGCACTGGGATGCTTCATGATTCCTTGTTGGTGTACTTCAATTAAAAAATGGTGCCTGCATGAAGCATTTCTTAATTATCCTGTTAGGGTATGCCATCTGTTTTCTGTCTAAAAGAGTAATTGGTACCAGGAATATTCCCAAGAAGGAAATCTTAAAATTAAGATTCTGAGATTTGGTGGTTTATATATTTTACTAGCACATGTTATCCTTCTTGCAAGAAGGGATAATAGTGAGTATGTGTTAGCATTTAAATTTTCAAAAATGATCAACAGTAAAGAAACACAAGGAAGTATCAATGGAAAGTAATGTTTTGTGATAAAGTATCTGTAGTATTTAGATCAGTGTTGAGATTAGGGATTAGAAAGGTTGTGACATGAAGTAGCTCCTCTGAACATGCTAGAGAGCCAAAAAATAGACTAGGAAACACTAATTGTTTTGGATGCCAATTGCAGTGGTCAGATGGAAATTGTAAAAGGTAAGTTTTGAAGGGTTTTTAAATTTTTCTGTAGATATAGGATCAAGCCCAGGACCTAATTATAACCACAATAGAATTGTACAACCAAATGAATGTGATGTTCTACCAGATCCCTATGTTAAGAAAATGAAATGGTAGTGAAAGTGTGGAAGGCTGTGTCATGGGATGGGAACATTAGGGAAGAAATAGATAAACCTGAGAAATCTGAATCCCCATATGCACCTGAAACTCTCTAATTAATGAAAGCAGCTCCTGTCTACATAGGCTGGCACACTTGCCTCACAGACCTAATTCCAAATCCTCCATGGGCTACATGTAGAGGAAGAAGTTCTAGATGCCAATAGGATTTAAAATGGAGAAGCGCAAGTACTAGTCTGGAAGTAGCTGCCCACTGAAAGAGTTGTAGAGTCTTGCCAATTTGTATCAGTGAGTCTGAAGAGCATGAATGAGAGGGATTTGAAAGTTGTTAAGCCAACTAGCATGCAATGTAAGATTGATATGGGTTGAGTTTATTGAACTTATTGAAATTACTTAACATACATGATTTGTGTTGATTAAATCTCTGGAAATCAACATTCACAGTATGCTAAGATGTTGAACTGAAGGCAAGCATACTATAGTCATGAAATGAGGTGCTGACATTTGCTGGACATACTGAGCAGGAAACGTATCCAAAAGTTCAAAGAATGTTGGCATGGAATCTGCTTAACCAATACTAATAGTTTCAACTGCAGGGGAGCTTGGAGAATACTTTTCTCGAAGCCTTCTTAGAAACTCTCTGATGAGTGTCCTTATGGAAGCTGGAGATGATGGTGGGAAATGCTGTTATGGAACTGAGCTTCCCAATTTTAATGGGAATAGTGGTATTCTCACATTCTGGAGTAATATAGTTGCTTATCCCTTAGCAAAAAATAAGGTCCATTATCTAACAAACTTCAGAGCGAGTTTACAATCAGAACACTACCCTAAACAGAAGTACTAACTAATTGATCACACCATCTCTAGGAATAAAATAGGTGGGAGCCTATTAAGATGCAGTTTGAAATATGTAAGTGGGAAAATTCTAGATCTAGTGAGCAGAAAAGTAATTCCAATTGTGATGCAGGACTTGTGGTCTCTTATTCAAGTTCTATATCTAAGCCATTTCACAGAATTCAACAAATTTATTTATGAAACTCTTTAAAGAATGATTCTTCAGTGAAACACAAATTAATCTTCTTCCATATTTTCTCCTACAGCAACGCATCAATTTATGAAAGTGTGTATATGAGAAAGAGTAAAACTTAGCCTTGGGTTTTGGTCACTGGTTCCAGAGGGATACTCCTTGGTAACTTGAAACAAAGTGGACAGACTTAGGACTTATAGAGGTCAGAAGACAAACAGAGTCTTGGATCAAATTAAACTCATGGTGATGATTTTCCTAGTCACAGGATTAATGGTGAAATTGGGTATATTTAATATATACAATAGTACCCACATTAGTTCCTCAATGAGTGAAATGTGCACTGTTATGGCAGAAAGGGCCCAGTAGAAGCTACTAGATCATACCACCTCCCTGTAATATTCTAAAAGCAATACTGAATTCCTAGGGACATTTTAGAGATTAGCATCACTATAAAAAAAAGTTGAAAATAGCAGGAGTATGATTCTTAACACATCCTTTTTTAACTGTACTTTGGCCAGCACAGATGTCAGATAAGTGGGTCTTGAAGCATGGAAATTAGAATTCATGTCATAAAAGAACTATAGTTTCATTTATGTATCTAGTCACTGGCTCTTCTATGCAGCTTTAGATATGTATTTTTATTTTCTAACTTTTATCTATAGTACATATAATGAGAAGCCATTTGCAAAAAGAGAAATAAATGATTATTGACTTACCTGAAGATTATTTATGATCTTTGTTATTGATCATAACAGACTTTGACTTTTGGCTATGTTACAGATGAGTGGCTATTATATTGGTAATATGTTAATTGAACATACCAGGCAGGAAGTAGCAAGAACCTAAAGGAGCCTAATGGCCTAAGTAAATCACATGATTGCTGGAGGATGGGAGACACACTCCAAAAACCAACAGCCAACTCAGGTGTAAATTATATCCCAATATATCAATAGATCTTGGAAAAAAGAAAATAAAAAAGCATCAATTGATGCTCTCAAAAATAGGCCTCTAGAAGTGAGAGCTATGTACCTGGGCCATTTACATACCTCAAATAAAGTGACACATGCTTGGTAATACTCTGGATGCTGATGAGAAAAATCCATATCACATCTAGGCTTGCAGCTCCAACTATTTTGTTATATAATTCAAAAGGAAGTTTTAAATAAAATTTTATATCACCTCAATGGGCTAGTAAAAGCATTTCTGGGTTTCATATCCAGAAAATTCAATGTTATAGAAAATACCTGTAGTAGATGGAAATCTGAGTGGAGCTCTTGACAAACTCCAAAGGAGGATGCTATTATGGTAGCAACTATTTCCCATCAGAAAGGTAAATTTTAGATTTCTACTAGGCTCTGGTAGTATCTAAACACTTGACTGTGGGATACTATATAATTATATGATATGAAATTCCCATTATGAAATAGATGCTATTTAATAAAAAGTAAACAAAAAGTGTATGTCCACTACAACATTCATGATGATTCAAGCATGTCTAAAAAGTTCTGTTGCATGAGCAACTGTCTCACTCTCATGATATTACCTTCTGTCAAATGCTACAGACTTTCTGAGGGGTGACAGTAAAAGACAATGGTGAAGAAAAATATTTCCCCTGATAGGCAACAAAATATCTGGTTGCTTCAAGCCAAACTAAAGGGGCAAGTCCAAGGTATGCTAATTTATGCAATGGATAATGGGTTGGCTACAAAGAACAGGCTGGAAGAAATATAAGCTCTGACTGATAGATAAGTGAATGAACCTTCCTGAATGGGCAATGTGAAGATATTCCCATGAAAATACCCTCATTGAATGTCTATTGCAAAACATATTCTAAATCAGGGGTGTCGAACTCAATCAGAGAAGGGGCCAAAATCTAAAATCCAGCCTAAATCTCTGGCCGAATGGTTTACTGAACAGTCATAAACTGACAATGTTAACCAGAAATGTGAATTTAATGAGTGGAACGATCTTTTCCTTAACAGTGCTGTTAACCAACTCACATGCTATCAAGCAAAACAGTAATATTGGAATGTACCTAAAATGCTCATTGTTTTGTTTTCTGGCTAGATGTCTGACACCGTTTTCCCCAGATCAATGAGTCAATGTTCGGTTTTATTTCTTGGGCTGTAGCAACCCGCAAAACAGCATGGAGGTTGTCATCAGTAAAGCGTGATCTGTGCTTGTTTTTGTTCAGATTCATTATTGAAAACATCTGTTCACAAAGATAGGTGCTCCCGAACATGGATAGAATACGGGCAGCATGAAGTCGGAGCTCTGGCATTGAGTCAGGGGGCAGTAGAGGGTAGAAGTCCTCAATTTCAACATCCTGAAACCTTGATTTCAGGCCACTGTCAGACTGAAGCTCAATTATCTCCATCTGAAGGTGATGGGGCACATTGTTGACATCAGCTGTAAAAGGATTGGCAAAGATGTCAAAGCCTGAGTGCTGTGTTCTAAAGTCAGAGAAGCGCCGCTCAAATTCACTTAGTAAACGGCTAACTTTGGTAGCCAGCCAACTGCAAGGAAAAGTACCAGAAATAGTGGTTGAGATACTCAAACAAACGGGAAAGTGGGCAAGATTGTCCTGTTCCAGTTGGGACTTCCATAGTTGAAGTTTACGCTGGAATGCTGTGATCATGTCAGACATCTTTGTTTGCGTCCCTGCAGCTTCAGATTCAGTTGGGCGTGATGCTCGCATATGTCACACATCATAGCAAAATCACATAGCCAGGCGGGATCCGACAGTTCAGGCAAGGGCTTTCCTTTACTTTCCATGAAAAGAGCAATTTGTTCTCTGAGCTCAAAAAATCTTTTGAGGACTGCGCTCTTGCTCAGCCATCTTACTTCTGTGTGGTATGGCACGTCTCCATGCTCTGCACCCACCTCCTGTAAAAACTGCTGGAACTGACGATGATTCAGGCCACGTGCCCGTATAAAGTTAATAGTTTTAATGACTGTGGTCATTATGTCATTCATGTCCAGAACTTTTCCACACATAGCCTCTTGGTGGATAATGCAATGATAAGTAATCAAGGGTGTGTGGCAGTGACTTTTTTGCATTCTTTCCATCATTAGTCCAACCAAGCCTTTCTTTTCTCCGCACATTGAAGGTGCGCCATCGGTAGTTAGCCCCACCAACTTTTCCCAGGGTAATTTAAAATTATTTATAGATTTCTCCACAGCCTCAAATATATCTCTACCAGTCGTTGTCCCATGCATGGCAGCTACATCCAAAAGTTCCTCAGTGACAGAGAGGTTGGTCTTCGTAGCACGTATAAAGATGGACAGCTGCGCTGTATCAGTGTTGTCTGTGCTTTCATCGATAGCAAGTGAAAAAGCGAGATAACTGCATGCCTGTTCGGCCAGCTGTGATGATAGATTTCCTGAGAGTTCTTGAACTCTATCTGCAATGGTGTTTCTTGACAAACTGACATTTTGAAAACTCTGTATCTGGTCTGGGCATACTTGCTCACACACTTTTAGCATGCATTGCTTCAAAAAGGCACCCTCTGAAAAACACCTTGAAGTATGGGCAATTTCTTCAGCCACTATAAAGCTTGCTTTCACTGCAGCATCATTTTTCACTGTAGCCTTTGTAAATATTTGCTGCTGTGATTGTAGTTTGCCTTTTAGTTCTTTAACAATTTTATGTTTTTCTTCCAAAGTATATTTGCCATACTTAACATTATGTTTGGTGTCAAAATGATGACGTATATTGTACTCTTTCATCACCGACACTGTCTCATAACACAATATACACACTGGTTTGCCCTCTCTAAGCACAAACATGTATTCATTTTCCCATTTGTCATTAAATTGTCTGCCTTCACCGACAACTTTTCTTTTCCTGGACATTTTGGGATCAATATTGGCAGTAAAAGATGTAGTTTATTGGAAAACTGCGTTAGAAGGAAAAAGTTGAAAAGGGATAGCTTGATTTGGCAGATGGAGTGGAGAAAAAAAAAGTCAGTCAATAAATGCCTGGCTGGGTACAGATAGCAGATTCTGTTGCGATTTTTATGCCTGCACTTTATGCCAGGAACTGGCAGCTTCTGCTGTGTATTTTTTATGCCCGCACACTCACTCTCTCCTCTGCTCTGCCACCCGCACAACCACATCGGATGCCGGACTATAGGTCACGCCTCCTGAATCTCGCGTGACTTGTTATCTATGCGCATGCGTAATAGATAGCAAGTACAACGGGAGCCAGCGAGATCACAAGCCTCCTATGTCACCGCGCCTCATTGTGATGGAACGCAGCAGAGTACAGTGATAACAGCCCGGTGCGGGCCACATTGCAAGGCCTGGTGGGCCGGATTTGGCCCGCGGGCCTTGTGTTTGACATGTGTGTTCTAAATAATCTGATAGACACGATGGCCCTTCCTCTGGGTGCCAGTCATCTTTCTGCCCATATCCCCAACCCCATGCTTGGTCACTATGTCCATAGACAAAGTGACAAAGATGGAGGTTGTGTAGTAGTTCAACAATATGCAACAATATAAACATCCTTACAATGGCTGATCTGACTCCCGCCAATGCTTATTGCCCAATATGCTCGCAGCAAAGGCCTACACTGAGCCTCTGATATAGCTTCCTTCCCCTACGACAAGCCAGTCACTCTGTGGAGATATGGAGACTTTTTGTTATGTAGGAGACAGTAATTTGTACCTCTAAAAATAGATCTATAGGGTGAGACAAAAGTAGGTTTATAGTTGTGAATATGCAAGGCATCATTTATTCTTTATTTTTTTTAAATATATTTTTATTAATTTCAGAGAGGAAGGGCAAGGGAAAGCTAGAAATATCAATAAGAGAAAAATATTGATTGACTGCCTCCTGCACACCCCCTACTGGGGATTGAGCCCTCAAGTGCTCTGACAGGAAATCAAACTTGTAACCTTCTGGTTCATAGGTCTATGCTCAACCACTGAGTCACAAGACAGGGCTATTCTTGTATCATTATTTATTAATTATTGTAATATTACTTTCCCTAGGAACAACTGTAAAACTACTTATGCCCCACCCTGGATTTTCACTTATGATATGCACTTTACCTTAACAGATTTTTATCAATGCTATTTTAAGTGGTCTCAGAGATTGATGTTGCTCCCCATGGTTATTTACCCATCCTTACTTCTATTAATAAAAAAACAAACAAACACGTAACAACAACAAAATACAACTCTTTTTGTAAAAAAGTGTAGCAACAGCATATGCCTACAAAATGTACAGGTTCTACTAAAAAAATAATAGAAATATTAGCTAATGCTTTAGGTTTCAGGTGTTTGTGTGACTCAGTTGATAACATGACATTCCAACCTGATAAGAGAGCTGAGAGTATTTTGTTCCTCTCTGGAGTGTAGGACTGGAGGAAGGAAGACAGGGGCTTAGGGACAAAGCAGGACTATTTTAATTATCTTGCAATTTTTACCTCCAGACTTATTACAACTCCCTCCTCACTTACTGTTGACTCTGGAAGGCCCACCTTTACAGACTGATTCCCATAAGCTTTGGCTACTGCTGGGATTGACCAACAGGAAGCATGGCAGAATGTAAGAAGAAATGAAGAAAGTGAGACCAGGAGCTTCAGGTCTTAAGCTCCACCACCTCATATCTCCAGTTTTGTAAGGGACAAGCATCCTGCATAATGTTCAGTGCAATCACTGTGTATCTATGTGAATTCTTTATTGTTTAAAGTATTACATAAGTCTCCTTTATCCACCATTGGTGTCTCCCCAGCTGTCTCCATCCCCCCTAGCACATGCCCTAACCCCCCTACTGTCTGTGTCCTTTGGTTGTACTCATAGGCATGCATACAAGTCCTTTGGTTGATCACTTACCCCCTCACCCTCCACCTGCCTTCATAGGTTGCATAGTATGCTCTATGTTTCTATGACTCTGGTCCTCTTTTTGTTCATCAGTTTATGTTGTTCATTATATTCCACAAATCAGTGAGATCATGTGATACTTATCTTTCTCCAACTGGCTTATTTCGCTTAGCACAATGCTCTCTACTTTCATCCATGCTGTTGCAAATGGTAAGAATTCCTTCTTTTTTTTTTTTATAACAGCATAGTATTCCAGTGTATAAATGTACCACCATTTTCTAATCCACTCATTTGCTGATGGGCACTTAAGGTGTTCCTGAATCTTAGCTATTGTAAATTGTGCTGCTATGAACATAGGGGTTCACGTATCCTTTCTGATTGGTGTTTCTGTTTTCTTGGTATATTTTCCTAGAAATGGGATTACTGGGTCAAATGAAAGTTGCATTTTTAATTTTTTGAGGAAATGCCAGACTGTTTTTCTCAGTGGCTGCACCAGTCTGCATCCCCATAAGCAGGGCATGAGGGTTCCTTTTTCTCAGCATCCTCACCAGGCCAGCACTTATCCTTTGTTGATTTGTTAAGGATAGCCATTCTGACAAGTGTGAGATGGTATCTCATTGTTGTTTTGATTTGCATCTCTTGGTTGGTTGTGTCTTTTGGTCTTCTATATATCCTCTTTCTAAAAGTGTCTATTTAGGTCCTTTGTTCATTTTTTGATTGGATTATTTATCTTCCTTTTGTTAGATTGTATGAGTTCCCTATAAATTTTGTAGATTAAACTGTTATTGGAGATAACATTGGCAAATATGTTCTCCCATACAGTAGGCTTCCTGATGTTTTGTTGATGGTTTCTTTTGCTGTGCAGAAGCTTTTTATTTTGATATAGTCCCATTTGTTTATTTTCTCAGTTTCCATTGTCCTAGGAGCTGTATCAGTAAAGATATTGCTATGACAAATGTCTACTATCTCTCCTTTTTAAAATGCTTATCATTCAAAATTTCTAGGAAATTTTCTCTGATTCTACAGCTTACTCTTCCTTTGTACTTTTATTTTTATATATATTATGACCATTGTCCAAAATATATTATATTGTTAAAGTATAAATAAACTAGCAAAAGGGAAAGAGTGAAGTATGACCTTGGAAATGTTGTAAGGCAGGGGCAATTGAGATTCCTAGTCTCAGAGTTTCCAAAGTTATTGGAATGGGCAGTCTGAGGGTATTGGGATGGTGTTGGTAGGTATAAGGAAGGCTGTACAATAAAGAATATTAAAAACAAACTTCACATATTCTGTTTTGTCTATAGATAAATTCTAATTTCTAGTGCAAAGTCCTTGGTGCAGAACAAGATTTAATATATTCATCAGTAGAAGATAAGCAGAATTGAGTGAATGAGATTATGTCTATAAGAAACAGTATCCTAATAATGTCAGTATGGATTCAACACGCTTTTAGCTGTGCCTGCACCCAAGTATTTCTGAGCCTAGAGCAAAACTATTTTTTAAAGGCCTACTCCCAGTTTTAAGTGCCCTTGCTAAATGCTGAAGGCAGTTTAAAATTGAGCAATTAAGAATTCAAGAGAAAATCCACA